CAGTCGCTTGCAATCACTGGAAGAAGAGTGATGCTGTGTGAACAATAAGGTCTCTCATGAGTCAGCAATACGTGACAGTCGTTGGGGGGAAAATGCAAAGCCCTTTACAAGTAATGCTGTTTGGGTGAATGCATTTTTCTTTTTGTATTACATCTCGGAACTTATTTTTTAGCCCTTGAGTGAGGAGTACCCATTTTAAAAGAAACATTGCTTTATCATATCAGAAAGTACTCACTTGTTCAGTTATTTGTAATACATGGCCTCTGTTACTTTCTATTGTACTCTACAAAAACTGTGGTTTTGTTCTTTATGGCATTATCGATAGTATTGTTCACTTCTCCTTGGTACACTAATAAATGTGCAGTACATGCAGATTCTATTCTATTTACCTAGACCTTACTGACTTAAAGTCCCACCTAAACCTAACAAAAAGAAAAAAGGACTCATAAGATCCTATGTTCCATCTTTTTTTTTTATTACTCTCCTTTCATCTCTCCATTATTTTTTCTTTTTTATCTTTTTTATTTCTGAAATTTCATTTATTTTTCTGAAAATTTTTTAGACTTGTTAAAAATTACCATTTTTAGATTTTCATTAAAAATAACTAACAACTAGGACCTATTGTGTAACACATGGGACTCTCTGCTCAATCCAGTGCCAACCTGGATGAGAGGGAGGTTTGGAGGAGAATTGATACGTGTGTATATGGCTGAGTCCCTTCACTGTTCACTTGAAACTGCCCCAAGATTGCTAATCGGCTCTACCCCAATACAAAATAAAAAGCTTAAAGTTTGAAAAATAATCAGCTTACTAATATATGAGGAGGCCAATTAAAAAATTATTATGTTATTTGACACAAATGAAGATGGACGTTAGCTAAAAATTTCCTATGGATTCTTATTTAACAGTAGTAAAAATGGGTGAAGTTCTGTTAGATTCAGCTGTTCTTAAAACTTGATTCTCTTGAGTTTGCCTTTTGGTTTAGAATGCCTGAGCTCTTGGTTATTTTCCTAATTTCCTACATTATGTTGATAAAACACTCTTCAAAAACAAACAAGTTCTTTAAAAGTGTTTTTTGGTGGGTAGGTATTTCCTGAAATGTGAGTTCTTTTTTTTTACTTTATTTTTTCATTGAAGGATAACTGCTTTACAGAATTTTGTTATTTTCAGACCTCAACATGAATCAGCCATAGGTATACAGCCCCTTCCTCTTGAACTTTCCTTCCATCTCCCTCCCCATCCCACCCCTCTAGGTTGATACAGAGCCCCTGTTTGAGTTTCCTGAGATATACAGCAAATTCCTGTTGGCTATCGATTTTATATAACTCAAATGTGTTCCTTTTTATAGCCGAGTAATATTCCATTGTGTATATGTACCAAAACTTCTTTATCCATTCATCTGTAGATGGACATCTAGGTTGCTTCCATGTTCTAGCTATTGTAGATAGTGCTTCAGTGAACAGTGGGATACATGTGTCTTTTTCAATATTGGTTTCCTCAGGGTATATGCCTAGGAGTGGCATTGCTGGGTCGTATGGTGCTTTTATTTCTAGTTTTTTAAGGAATCTCCATACCATCATCCATAGTGGCTGTATCAATTTACATTCCCACCAACAGTGCAAGAGGTTTCCCTTTTCCCCACCCCCTCTCCAGCATTTATTGTGTGTAGACTTTTTGATGATGGCCATTCTGACCAGTGAGAGGTGATATATCTCGTTGTAGTTTTGATTCACATTTCTCTAATAATGAGCAATATTGAACATCTTTTCATGTGTTTGTTAGCCATCTGTATGTCTTCTTTGGAGAAATGTCTGTTTAGGTCTTTTTCTTTTTCTTTTTGATTGGGTTGTTTATTTTTCTGGTATTGAGTTGTATGACAGCTTGTATATTTTGGAAGTGAATCCTTTGTCAGTTGTTTCATTTGCTATTATTTTCTCCCATTCTGAGGGTTGTCCTCTTACCTTGCTTATAGTTTCCTTTGCTGTGCAAAAGCTTTTAAGTTTAATCTTATTTACTTTTGTTTTCATTTCCATTACTCTAGGAGGTGGGTCATATAGGATCTTGCTTTGTGTCGTCCAATGTTCTGCCTATGTATTCTCTAAGTTTTATATAGTTTCTGGTCTTTCATTTAGGTCTTTAATCCATTTTGAGTTTATCTTTGTGTATGGTGTTAGGAAGCATTCTAATTTCATTCTTTTACATATAGCTGTCCAGTTTTCCCAGCAGCACTTATTGAGAAGGCTGTCTTTGCCCCATTGTATATTCTTGCCTCCTTTGTCAAAAATAAGGTACCCATAGGTTCAGTTCAGTTCAGTCACTCAGTCGTGTCAGACTCTATGTGACCCCACGGACTGTAGCATGCCAGGCCTCCCTATCCATCACCAACTCCTGAAGTTTACTTAAATACAAGTCCATTGAGTTGGTGATGGCATCCAACCAAATCATCCTCTGTCATCCCCTTCTCCTCCTGCCTTCAGTCTTTCCCAGCATCAGGATCTTTTCAAATGAGTCAGTTTTTCACATCAAGTGGCCAAAGTATTGGAGTTTCAGCTTCAGCACCAGTCCTTTAGGATGGACTGGTTGGATCTCCTTGCAGTCCAAGGGACTTTCAAGTCTCCTCCAACACCACAGTTCAAAATCATCAATTCTTCCCTCGGCTTTCTTTATAGTCCAACTCTCACGTCTATACATGACTACTGGAAAAACCATAGCTTTGACTAGAAGGACCTTTGTTGGCAAAGTAATGGGTTTATTTCTGGGCTTTCTATCTTGTTCTATTGGTCTTTGTTTCTGTTTTTGTGCCAGGACCATACTGTCTTGATGACTGTAGCTTTGCAGTATAGTCTGAAGTCAGAAAGGTTGATTCTTCCTGCTCCATTCTTCTTTCTCAAGACTGCTTTGGCCATTTGGGGTCTTTTGTGTTTCCATGTGAATTGTGAAATTTTTTGTTCTAGTTCTTTGAAAAATGCCATTGGTGATTTGATAGGGACTACATTGAATCTGCAGATTGCATTTGGTAGTATAGTCATTTTCACAATATTGATTCTTCCTACCCAGGAACATGGAATATCTCTCCATCTGTTTATGTCATCTTTGATTTCTTTCATCAGTGCCTTATAATTTTTTGCATACAGTTCTTTTGTCTCCTTTAGTAAGTTTATATTACTAGATATTTTATATTTTTTGTTACAATGGTGAATGGGATTGATTCCTTAATTTCTCTTTCTAATATTTCATTGTTAGTATATAGGAATGCAAGTGATTTCTGTGTACTGATTTTGTATCCTGAGACTTTGCTAAATTTGCTGATTAGCTCTAGTAATTATCTGATAATATCTTTAGGGTTTTCTGTGTATAATATCTTGTCATCAGCAAACAGTGAGTTTTACTTCTTTTCCAATCTGGATTCCTTTTATTTCTTTTTCTTCTCTGATTGCTGTAGCTAGGACTTCCAAAACTATGTTGAATAATAGTGGTAAAAGTGGCACCCTTGTCTTGTTCCTGATCTTAGGGTGAATGCTTTCACTTTTTTCCATTGAGAATAATGTTTGCTGTGGGCTTATCATATATGGCCTTTATTATGTTGAGGTAGGTTCCTTCTTTGCCCATTTTTTGAAACATTTTAATCCTAAATGGGTGCTGAAGACACCCATTTATGTGAATGTGTTCCGCATAAGATGTGTTCCATCTTTTTTTTTTTAATCTCCTTTCATCTCTCCATTCTTAATACTGCCTCAGTTCTGTTTGTTTCTTAGAGTATTTTAAAGCAAATCCAAGACATAATTTCACCCATAAATATTAACAGATAAGAACTTTTAAAATTATGACTGATAACTTTCTGATTTTATTAAAGATTTTTTTAAAAAGAAAACAGTCTGTTCAAATAAGGATCCCCAAAATTTCAACATGTTATATTTAATTATGTCTCTCAAGTTGCTTTTAATATAGAACAGCCCTAGATTTTGATTTCTTACCACTGACATTTTGAAGAGAGAAAGTCAGCTGTCCTACAGAATGTCCTGGGCTTCCCAGGTGGCTCAGTGATAAAGAATCTGCCTGCCAAGCTGGATACATGGGTTCAAAACCTGGGTGGGGAAGATCCCCTGGAAAAGGAAGTGGCAACTCACTCCAGTTTTCTTGCCTGGAGAATCCCATGGACAAAGGAGCCTGGCAGGCTACAGTCCACAGGGTTGCAAAGAGTCGGACACAACTTAGTGACTGAATTACAACAGAATGTTTCACAGTTTGGCTTTATCCCCTATCTTTCCTATAGCAGGTAGAAAGATCAGATATTTGATGAGATTCAACCTCAAGGTTTTAGGCCACTATACTGTAAGAAGTTCTGTGTTCTTCCTATTGCACTGTATGATGTCTGACAATTATGCTTATTATTAATGATTATACTGAAATTTAATACCTGCCTCCCCTGGTGAAGATGTCAGGAACCCATCTTTTGGGAGCCATAATTCATGTAGCTTGATTTTAGTGTTTTAAATCATGAAGTGTTTCTCCAAAATCCTTTTTTAGTATCATTAGTCTATTAGGAAGATGCCATTTTTAAAAGCTTTCTTGTCCTAGGATACAGGTCTGTCATCTAGTTTTTCTATTTCCACTAAAATGGTCCTTTTAAATTAATCTATCTAAATTGTCCAACAAACTCTGAAAATTCTCTTGGTAAAAATGTTTCTTTTTGTGCTTCAGTACCATGTTGATGAAATGTTTAGAGTTACAGAGCCCCAAAAGAAAAGACATCTATCCTGACATGAGTTAGCCTGCATGGCCTACTTTATCAGGGGAGGAGTCAATAGCCACCATGTTGCCAAATGGACCAAAGTGTCTCTCTTCAATGAAGGGGGCACATTCCCAAGAGTATATTTTCAGTGAGTTCAAAGAGAAGAGTGGTATAAAAGTTGGTGAATAAATATACATTTCTAAAGAATAAAGATAAATTGCTTAAAGATCTTTATTTCACAAGATTTTGTTTTTCTCACTGTTCATAGGAAGAAATCTTTCCTGTTTTCCGCTCTGTATGCTGCCTTTGTCTTTGGTGGTCGGCACCTAATGAACAAACGGGCGAAGTTTGAACTGAGGAAGCCATTAGTGCTCTGGTCTCTGACCCTTGCAGTCTTCAGGTAGGTTGTTGGTGGTGTTTGTTTTTTTTCCATTTTCCAAATAAAATCCATCTATTTCATCAGATTAGCTGAAAGACAACAACGCTTAATCCTGCATCTCATATTGTTTGTTATTAAGGATATAAAATAACACCACATCCCGAGAGAAAGGCTTCCTGCAGCCAAACTTGACATACTCTATTCATTTTGAGAACCCTCTATTCATTTTGAGAAGCCGTCTCCTCTCTTGTCCAAGCTGTGCGTGCAGTAACTCAGTTTACGTCTTAGGACTGGAAGCAGTACATCAGTTCCATTTTTTTGGCATATAAATATTGATGTGGGGGTAAATGGAAAGCAGCAGCAGTAAACTGTGGAAGTGTATGGTAGTGTTCAGATGGGGTGGGCATATGCTTACTGACTGGCGCATAGTCAAAAATGACTTTTGGGCACTTAATGAGACACTGGACCAGAGAATGCTTCTGTTCCATATCCCCAAAGCATCCTCCACCTGAACTAACTAACAGGCATATACTTATGCATTCAGGTCTTACTTTGCGTCAGACAAAACTCATCATAGAGGCTGGTCAGGATCAGGCCTGGTCTCTCCAGAAATATCTGCCAGCCAACATACAGACACACTCCTGGAACCCTGAAGGAACATGTCTAGTTTTGTAATATTTGGTGATTTGACAATCATAAGATGAATTAGTACACAGCTGGTATCCAAACAGGTGCCAGAACTTACCTACAGTGCTAACAAAGGCACCTAGAATAGGTGTTTTGCTTGTCAAAACAAGCAGGTTGATAACTAGGCTTGGGGTGGGTAGGAAAGCAGATATAAATATGCTACAGAATAAAAACCTATTCTTTCTAATATATAGGAGTATTTCTACTTTTCTTGTATTACATATTAACAGTTATACTTCTCCAGTGGTTCAGGGGTAAAGAGTCCGCCTGCAATTCAGGAACCACAGTAGACACGGACTTCGATCCCTGGGTCGGGAAGATCCCCTGCAGGAGGGCGTGGCAACCCACTCCAGTATTCTTGCCTGGAGAATCCCATGGACAGAGGAGCCTGGTGGGCTGCAATCCATGGGGTCACAAAGAGTTGGACATGACTGAAGCGACTTAGCATGCACCACTAAGGAGAAATACATGGAATCATTAAAAGCCTCATTAGTCACTTAAGGCTTTTTAAAGATGATCAGGCAGGAAAAGGATTTTCACAAACTTTGATCTGCACATTTCCACCAGGCTGGCTCCCTGCATCTGAAACACTGATCTGCTTGCTCCTGCAGGCACTCTATATTTTGGTCCATTTCATAAGGCACTACATGGGAGATACTTGTGATTTGAACCGAGCACTAAAGACTCCTGTTTCATATGTATCAGGTCCTAATTCTCTAATACAAAGCAGCATTTTCATTTTTATTCACACTGAAGGTTCACAGTCTGTCTCACCTTAAGTACTTTGATATTTGAAGGAAAAATTATCTTGATGATGCCTTTCAGCATTTTACAGATCTTTCAACATCCCCTGAACCTTTATCTTCTGTTTTTTTTAACCTTAGCACATATAAGAGGGAAGAAGAAAGTCCAGGGACCCCCACGCACCTGTTCTCCTGCTTAAGCAGTTATCCACACTGTTTCATCTGTATTCCCACCAACTTCTTCCTTGACCCAAATTATTGGGAACTATTACAGACTCAGTTACTTCTGAAAGAAATGATACCATTTCTAAAAGTTAAGTAGTCTTACTAGACTGGTCAGTGTCATTATCTCACCTAAATTAGTAATAATTCTTTCTTATTGAGTGTCCCATTTTCTCCAGTCGTTTCAGTTTTTTTTTTAACAATTTATTTTTAAGAATTTTGACCCAATGGACATATACACACTACTATATATAAAATAGTCAACTGATAAGGACCTAAAAAAAAGTAAAGAATCCTCACCCAAACGGGTCCATACTTTTCCATTGGTTGATTTAACTTAGAGGTTTTATCTTTCCTTCCACTTCCAATCCATTGTTCAGATAATCCAAATTGTTTCTCTTTTAGAGTTTCCCCCAGACAGGATGTTACTGATTGCATTCTTCTGAAACCCTGTATTCTTTGTTAGTCAGCAGAGCTAGAAATTTTATTATATTTAAATTTAATAGGACTTTTTATAAGAAGTTAGTGAAACAAAAGGATAAATACTTGATTCTTTGGTCATGTTTAGCAGTTTCAAAAAAATTAATTTGATTACTTAGCATTTGAATAATAATGGGTGTTTTTAAGTATCATTATGAAGTTACAGAATTATACTTTTTTACATGTCAGTGAGTGTGAGGTGAATTTGGATTTGATGTATTGTAGTCCAATGCTATTATTCTTTTTTGTTGCTAAGTTAACCCCTGTTTGACCAGAGGGAGTGTCTTCCGATTGGCTCCTGAATCCTTTCCCCATCCTGAGTAGTACTCAGAGCTTGATTTTGTGTATGTGTGTGTATTTTGGGGTGTGTATGTGATTGGGGGTGAGGGTGGGGATGACAAGCTGTTCAAGGCCAAGCCTGTTGGCATATCCTTGTCCAGAACTGCAATCAGTCATTTCTCAAAAGATCCCAAATTCCTTTGGGAGAAGGAGATAGTATTTAGAAATAATTCTAAGTACTAGCGGTGATTATTGTCACTAAGTTCTTAGTTTTAGGCCTCTCAGAGAGCAGAAATAGAAAATTATTCGTTATTTTGAAAGAATGTATCCAGAGCTAGTATTCATACTTCTGATTCATATTTATGACTAGAGAGTTTTTACTTAATAGATTTCTACTTCTTCCTATGCCAAAACCCAAGTTCCCAAGGTCAGTACTTACACAATAGAACATATGCACTAGTCATTAACACTACCATCTTTTTTAGATTGACAAGTTCCTGTTTCATCTTCAATTTCTTTAATTCTATTGGTTAATTCACTTTCTTCAGAGCCATGTATAAAATTTTGTATAAAATTTTAAAAGCTGACACTACAGAAAGGTGTCCAAGCATGGACTGTCTTGGGCCTTATAAAAGTTGATCATAGTATTCTAATCAGTTATTTGGAAACACTATAATGGAATTCTGTGGTTGTATTAATTGAACATGGTCCCATGTTAGGAAGAGTATATTAAGGTTTCTCTGTGCTTAATTCTGATCAACAGTGCATTGAATGAAAAGGCTAAATACAGAATGAATTTTTTAATGGAATGTTTATGTAAATTTTACTCCTAGACATAAAACATATGCTGTTCATGAATGCATTTAAGTATTTGTAAAAATATCTAAAAAGATAATAGAAGAAAATATACTCAATTTTTACATCTATGGAAAGGGAGAGGAGACAGGTTTTTAAATGCCCACTGTTTACTGGAAAATAAGCAGAAAAAATTTCAGAGCTTATAGATGTTGGTTTTAGTGAACCAGTAATCTAGAGCAAAAAGGATTTAAATTTCTTGTGATGCCTTGTCTTCTTATTCAAAAGAAACCAAACAAGTATCATGTTGACAGCTCAATTCTGGATATTGGGTGTTTATTATTCTTTGTGCTTTACTGCATTTACAGCATTTTCTAAAATATACACACATGCATACACAATCTCATACACAGCTTAGAGAATCTCAAGTGATATTTGCTCTTCTAGAATCCAAATAGCTTTTGAATGAAATTGACATAAAGCATCAAAAATTTATATAAAGCATCAAAAAAATAAGCTCACAGACAAATGTTTTTATGAGTATTAATAAAAATTCTCCAATCTAGGTCATATATTAATAAAATAACTTATTATATTCTTATTCTTATGAATAATAATGTTATAAGAATATGTTTGTAGAAAATTATGACTCTTATTTTACTATAATTCACAAATTTTCAAATTCACCTATAAATGTTGTTTAATATATAAGTATATAAAGTCGTTATACAAGAGATTCCTGTGTGAGATGGCATGCAATTATGTAGGACCCTAAGAGCCACTGCTTACCACTAATAGGATGTCATGGATTTGGAAAAAAGAGGAGAGAGAACCTAACTTTTCTATTAGAGGAATTAGAAATAAGGGAGAGAAGAGTAAGATTTTGCTTTTGGAAAATCACTGAAAAGATTTTTTAATGTATATTACTGCTTAAAACGAATGTCTTTTCCCCAGTTTTTCAAGTCTGCCTGTTAGTCTGCCTAACTAGAGACCCAACTTAGACTTATTTCTGGACACCCCGAACTGTGTTTACTCATGAACTGAGACAACTGGGTGGAAATTAAATCAGATATGTAGGCTCCCTAAGCAAAAAGAAACCCTCCTTTTTACTGCTCTGTTTCAGGAGGGAGGGGGTGTTAGATGATTTGGTGAGCATTACCTGTAGCATGTTTTCTTTATCTTTGGATTTTGACTGAATAGAACAGCAGTTTTCATATAGGTCAAATACATTGTAATTTATTGAAGGCTGTCATAAGTTTTGATGGAGTAGATAGGATATGATCGAGTGAGGTTTTTCCCAGGTCCACCATGGATTTATTTCATTGAAGAATGACTTCTCTGGGGTTTTCTTGAAACTTTCTTCCCATTAACCTCAAGCCATGCCTCCCCTTTTAGACCTAAGCCATCAGCTTCTGTATCAGTCTTTACAGATAAGATTAGGACATAGCAACCTACAACCCAAGGATAAGCATTTTCTTATTTGATGAGACAGTTCCAGGTGGTGTTTGGCCCTAGATATTTGGATATTTCCTTAGGGTAAATGCTGAAAAAAATTCCGGTAATTTGAACTATTAAATCCTGAGATTATTGCTTATGGCAGACAGCCTCAAGCCCTTCAAGGTGCCAGCCACCCATTCTTCCTGAGTCATTAAATCATGTTGCTATGGCATCTCAGCAGGGTTACTTCTGTTGATTTGTAAAGGACTTTCTGTGTACTGATTTAATAACTTTAAATCCTTCTAGATTGGGTGCAGATGTGCATGCTTCCGATTCAAACAGTCTTTACCAGGTCTCTGTCTGGCAGAGTTTTCTTCT